TTTACTTGCCAGAAAGGGTTTTTCTTCAGAACTACCACTACCACTTTATTTGGTCATCAAATTAGCTTGTATAACCATTGTGTTTAATGGCACATTACGGTGGATTTGGTCCTCAATTCACACACTCAGGAGTCTTTTCATATTAAGCATCACTTCAGTTCTATGAAAATACAATGTACGAGTACTTAGAGGTATAGCTACTTTAGCTTTCGCCTTGATTTTTTCTTTATTATCATGTATTGTTCCCACTGTAGAGGTTGCAAGCCATAAAGTTTTGGCAATAGAGCTAAGTTTTTCTCTGGCATCAGATATCCTCCAAACATCAAGTTTCACATCCAAAGTAATTCCTTTCCATGCTTTCTTCATTGTATTACTTGCACTTGAACTTGATGGCCCCTTTCCAGATTTCTTGAATAAGGGTAATACACTCACTGTCTTGAAAAATTATGCAAAGAACAACTGCATGAACAAAGCATGCCACCTACATCACTGACAGTTGGAAATGTGCTCTGAAATTCTAAAAAATGATACTATTTTTAGCCAAATTGATTGCATTTTGTGTTTAAAAATACTTTATATTTACCTCAAAATTCCATGAGAGTGAATTTACAGTCCGTACCCCAGATTTATTGGTCATGATTCGTAATTTTCGTATGGGTGAAATTCCATAACTGGAATACCCGTAGTGCGAGGACAGACTGTATACAGAATAAATAGTTAATGTGGATTATATAATTTATTTCACATTATATTTGGTCTCGAAAATCAGTTTTGAGGGCCATGGAAAGTTCTGGAAAAGTCATGGAATTATGAATCATGGAAGGTGTAAGAACCATGACGTCACTCAGAATGGCAAAAGTGAAAGCAAGGTATCATGTTGTATAGCTTTTGAGTATGCATGTTAATAAACTGCTATAACAACGGATGAGTTCACTTTATGAAGGTAGAAGGGATGGGAGTTCATTAGAAGAAAGAAGTTAATAGATGCATCTTGACCTTGACTGCAACTAGAAGTAGGAAACAATGAACCTAATCTCATGGGGGGGGGGGGGACCAGAGTTGTACATCAGGATGCAAATTCAATTATTGTTTCAAGGCATTGGGACATCCATTTCAAAAATTGTACTTTCCTGACAAAGTCTGGACTTTGGTAGCAGTACTTTTTGATGTTGTTTCCATTCTTCAGTAGTGGAATGTGGAGAGAAATGTCCTCTCCGTTTAATGATTTCTCTACCCTTCCAGTTTGTGTAACACTATCTGTTACAGCTTTCAGATCAAAGCTGTGTTGGCAGTTAATCCAATATTACAGAAATTCATCTTCCCTAATGTTACATACAACTAGACTCCAAGTGATTTATCACTGGAATTTAATTTCCAACTTATTAGTCCCTGTTTCGGACCTGATGCCTTTTACATGTACTAGAACTAAACTGAAGCTGGATATAACATTAGATCTGTAATTAATCAAGTTATAGGTCTGTACTTGTTCCTACAGTTCATATCACAGTAACTCTAACTGTAGTTAAAAAACTATATACTATATCTATATCTAAGACACAGTTTCACTGTATTTAGGCACCTATAACTAAATACGAAGTAACACATTCATGGAAATATTACTGTCTACAATCTTTCATAAGAGCTTGTAGACCATAAATATATGAATGGCTGTAATTTTTTTTCCCATTTTCCCTCCATATCTCACTCTCTCATAATACGAAGTAACACATTCATGGAAATATTACTGTCTACAATCTTTCATAAGAGCTTGTAGACCATAAATATATGAATGGCAGTAATTTTTTTCCCTTTTTCCTCCATATCTCACTCTCTCATAATACGAAGTAACACATTCATGGAAATATTACTGTCTACAATCTTTCATAAGAGCTTGTAGACCATAAATATATGAATGGCAGTAATTTTTTTCCTTTTTTCCTCCATATCTCACTCTCTCCCCACATTCTTTCCTTTTTTATTGATAATTTAAAGAAGAGGAGATTGTATTCTTAACATAAAGAAGTGGAGATTAAGAACTGCTACTCATTACTTGACATTAAAAGTGATGGTGAAACTATAGTAACAGCAGGATTCAAAATTAGTGGGGGCTCGGGAGCCAATGGCCCCAAAAAATGCTAGCGGGCTCCTAAAAAGTGTCTGCTAGGTGCTCCGTGTGACCCCTTAAAATCAAAAGAGCCAATAAAAGTTTGACTCCACATAAATTGATCTAAGTGTTTCTTAACCAAGCGAACTTATGACAAACCATGAATGGACCTTCCCAAATTTACATACACTCATCAGTCATATACAATCCACAAA